TTGGGTCGCCTGAAGTTTGTACAAACGAGGAATAAGGGGTGCTCGGAACATAGAGCCAAGAACCATTCCCCGTTTTCCGAGCGACAGGAGTCTAGTCCGAAAGGACCTAGATGTGCCTCACTCGAAGTCAGCCGACCTACTTTAGCATAAGTATCACCTGCTAAAATCAGGATATCAACCCCGTTCGCTCTATGGAAGAGGTCGTGTAGTTTTTGATGGAAATCCTCTTTGACTGCATCTGGGCTGCAGTCCGTTGGAGCGTCGCCTATGCAGATTTCTTCTATCAGGGCTATGGCTGCTTACTTTGCACGAGCTTGTGAGTTTCACTGCGCATGACCTGTCTATTCTGTTACGGGCCATGACCGTTCAAGAATGAAATAACTCCATTTTCGAACTTAGCTGTCCATCCGTTGTTGAATGGGTTTAGTGCGGCGATAGAACATGAAATACCGAAACTGTGCGCATAGTTTTGGATAATCGCCATCAAGCACTGACGCAAGCGGTTGACCTCCGTAGGTTACAGTATCTGAGGTGTGTCATGCATGCCACCAGATAGGCTTACTGGATATGCGATGTTTGCCGAGGTAGATCATGGAAGAAGTATAACGGTGATCAAACAGAAATCACCACTAAAGTATGAGAAAATTGACCAAATCACTTGCTCATTTAGGTTATCTTGGCAGTGCGCTCTACTTTTTAATTGTTCCATTTACTCCTTCATTGGTCGACGAAATGGTTCGTCGAACGACAGCAGCCACAGTCGTTGCACTGCAGTGCAAAGCTAATGGTCTTATGGACTAAAAAGCGGAGATTATGCAATTCTCTTGATTCCTTGATTGTGTTCCGGAGGTGCCTTACGCATTATCTTAAATTGCTTGAATGATTCTTGGGGAACTGCCATGCTTGTCTAGAGAAGCAGAACACCGGTGTTAATCAGCCATGCAAGAGACCAATGGAAGAAAATTAATCATACAAAACATTATTCAAAAAACTTTGTGGGTTTGAGCTTGAAGTCTGCCCAAAACATTTGATACCACAAGATTCAAGAAACCTGATCGAGAATGACATACTTATCTTGATTGGTCAGGATAAAGCTAAGACTGATAGCAATTGCCATACTAGTTCGGATTAAAATCTAAGAATGACGTTAATAACCGATAGACAAAATAACTCATGGGACGGAAATACCCGCTGCTTCACGGATCGTCCACTATTCCAACTGATTGGTTTCAAAAATCTGAGTAATATCCCATGGGTGATTCAAACAGGAAGCATCTCGTACGATTTGGGAGTTAGAGGAAGAACTGGACAGATGAGTAATTTGGTTTTCCAGATAGTTATCTAGGACCTTGGGGCACGACATACTTCGCGGTAGCCCACACCGACGAAGGGGTTTTTCTTTAGGAGCCCTGATCGGAGCGTTTGATTCAAAAGTCTGACCCACAAGGTAGTGAGACGTAGATCCAACGCAGGAGCGTTGCCGTAGCACCCGTGCGAGAGTTTCTAGAGACCTATCACCCAAGGTCTTTGGGTTTCGGTTCAATGTGTTGTTTGCTGGCGCGTTGATTGTCGGTCCGCTGTTCGGGATTGACCGTTAGTCTCATGCATCCAATGAGACGATCGGAGAATGGAACGGAACAGCACCTAATTGACTGAGGGCTGCCCAGCTTGTGCGGGCGGTAGCTGTCCAATGAAGTGCGAAGACTTCTCCCACCGTCGGGAAGAAACCTCAGGTACCCAGTCCTACGTCCAGCTAGTGGGTTTTTTGACCAATAAACTGTCCTTCCAGGGATCAGAGTGGATACACAAGGGAAACCAGATGTCCCAGCAGCTGACTTTGTGGGATTGATCTTCGTCTGGCCTCCACCCATTAACTTTTCAGGCATAATTGAATCCGCGGCTGTAAGCAGCCTTCCTTTATAGTTCTCAGGGTCATGGAGGCGCGCATACGTCAAGACGCAGTCTCATCGTGATGACAACTGATTGAGCCCCGGAGATTACATGATTCCGGCTGGAGAAAAAATTGATGATAAGCGAGCAGACCATTCACAATAACTGGAGTAACCTTGAGGATAAGTCATCTCGTTTAGCGCTTGTATGCTTACTCGATTACTCGTGGCTGAAGATCAATAGGTGGAGTTGGGTCCAATGGATTTGGAAGTATGATGCTCTTATCGTTTGATGGTGAATAGAGGAGGGATTTTCGGTTCTGATGAGCGTTCCTGTATTTTTTCTAATGTAAGATGTTTTACTGACAAATTATTGAAAATCGGTTCTCGTAGCTCGGGTGAATTCCATTTCTCCTGTTCGCCGAGCTTGGCAATTTGTTTGCAAACGTTTCATCACCAGTCGAGATGAAATGGTCAGTGCTAATATTGGGACTAATGAATATTGTCTGTCACCCCGAGCCTATTATTTCTGATAACAAAAAGATGAATAGTATTTGCGGTCGGCAAGTTAGTGCGAAGTTATTTAAACTTAAATCTTCGATCGGCCGAAGTGCGTGTTATCGGGCTTGCATATGTGTACTTCATAATGTTGTTATCGATAAACGGATCACTTATGTTGGTAAGTATTATAAGTTTGAGAATGACAAACCGTTTCTGTTCTTTTGCTTAAAGATGCACAGCTTTAGTTGGTGCTCGATGACCTGTTCTGTTCATCTTTCATCATGTATATTTTTCAATACCGTCCATGGTGTTTTAATCTGAATGAGGAACTAATAACGGATAATCTGTATTTTCTCCAGATAATTTGCGTTGCGAGGCTCATCCGCATGAGACCCTAGAATGTTTTTGTGAAGCTTGCGGCATCCTCACTTGTCGGGACTGTCAACTGTCTGTGCATCGCGATCATGGAAGTCACCGTTGGGTCGGTGAAAAAGCCAGCCTATTAAAATCCCCGTTGGAAGAAGCGGTAGCCAAACTACAGCATTGTGAACCGCAGCTAGCCCAATCGGCTAGCATCGCTTTGAATGCAAGTACCAACACCAAAGATGACAGTTTTCTGGGAAGTGTTGAAAAGACCCGATTGGCCATTGAAGCTCGAGCTTCGTCACTCATACTCCGTATCCGTTCACGCACCGATGCCCTGTTAAAGGAATTGGATAAGAAGTGCAATGAAAGTGTACAGCAGCTGATGTCAGCCGAAACTTTAATCGAACAACTTCAGGTAATTTTTCGATCCTTCATCTTTTTTTCATATATCGCATGAATTTCTGGTTCGTTTGAAGTTCAAATTCGATGGCAAATCATGCAGTACCGTTCACCAATATCCTTGTTCAGTCCTAAAATAGTTCTAAGATGTAACAGGTTTTTGATTTTTGAATATCATTGACATCTGTGAAAGTGCATTAATTTAAATGATTGTTCTTCCTGTGCCAGGATTATTTAGGTTTTAATTAGGTAACCAAGAATGATGTGTGCAATTTTAATTACCATTACGTAAAAGAGTCCGGATGCAATTTAAGGGATTTTCTCACGAATAATGACATTGTCGACTAGTCGATCAAAGAGTCCATCCTGAGGCAGCCTCAGTATAGTCGGGGTGGGGTCTAGGGTTATGGTCTGTCACCATTCCCTTTAGTCTCACAAAATGCTCCTATATGACCAAGCCTCTCAAATAGCTTCCGCGTAAGAGGTCCTACTAACTGCCTTCTAGTGGCGAACGTATTTTCCAACCACACTGGGAGGACGAAAAACCAATATCTGGGGCTATAACTAGGTCGGTGAACCACTGGCAGTTCACCTAGGGGAGTTAACTAAAACCCCTGATTCCAACCCAACCAAGAAGAGGCGTATGAACCACACCCATTTACACCTTCCTGGTTGTAGCCATTTTCATCGACCCTATTGGATGTCGCTGCGCATGAGGGAGATGCATTTAATAGATTGGAGCCCCCACCTAGTCCATTTATTAACCGCAGTTTTTTCATGCAATACCCAGTTTCAATGGGATTCAGCATTTTTACGATGATATTGCGTGTGCGCAATCGACCCGCAAAACCTTTCTACACACAGAGGGGATTTGGTTGTCAAATTCATAACCTTTTGATGGGTGCAATGGTTATGCTTCGTTCGTACGTCATAGTCGTATAGGAATCTGCGTCATGTAATTACCAAAATTTTGGAAATTCAATATTTTTCGCACAAAGTAGCATTGCACGTAGCAAAATGAACAGCTTCTCAATTCACACTTACCCACCATATCGTTCCGGGCGAATCCGCATCCTGAATCCATATAAGGTAGATATGGCATTGCGCCGTTCAGTTTTTGGTTTCAGTTTGTACAACCACTAACCGTGCACTTTCGTGCTCCCTTACCTCCTACGTACCCTCGTTAACAGCCTTAAGAACATTAAATCCTAGTCGCCACAGGGTTTATCGCAGTCTTTTAAAAATAACGGGCCGGGTTCATTGGCTGTTAAATCATACATTCCCATTGGCGTTTGTATATAGCGAACCATTCGACATCTCAGTCCTCAGGCTTCCTTAACCTAACAATAGATTCCCGTGACTATAATGTTTACCCATCATCACGGTGTGATTGTAAGATGCTGGAGCGTCCACAAAGGGTGGCCACCAAAATGGTCAGGGGGTTGAATCGGTGTTCATACGCAGAGAGATTGAATTCACTGGGGTTATATTCCAATCACTACCGGGGCATCAGAGGAGATATGATTATGTTATACCAAATAATGCAAAACCCAAGCCATCCGTGTCGCCCGCTTTTGAAATTATCACCCAACGTTCATCTTAGAGGACATCCATTTAAACTAGTGGTCTCGAAATGCCGCTTGGAATGCCGGCGTCAGTCATTCGCAGTCAGTGTGTTCGATCTGGAACTCTCTACCATCCTACGTCATCTGTGCTCCAAGCATTGAGTCTTTCAAACTGAGGCTCGATGAAACATTAGCACACCTTACATTCCAACATAAGTGAAGCTGCGTGCAGCAGTGGAAAAAGCACGTATCACGTGACATTTTACACAAAGAATTGTATGTATCACTGTTTCTTACTCCACCGCACGAACCTATGGGACCAGAAAAGCATGAGCTTGTAAGTTAATCCCATAATAAATCTTTGAAATCTTTGAAACATCTGTGGGGTCGACAGTTTATCATATCAAGTGTAGATTTACAAAAAAACAAGATGTTCGTGCACAAAAATACAAATAAGCGCGTAGTCATAAGTTGTTTTGTCATAACCGAGATTAACTCAGAATAAGATGCTAATCGCTAAGATCCCCTTATCCAGGTCAGTCCCATACTTTTCAATTTACATGTCCCTGTGTGCTTTGCATACCTTTTATTGCTAATATATAATAAACAACAGGGAGGCTCAACCATACGATCACGAGAACCCAACGTTCAATTGTGGTAGCCGCCATCCTAGACTCTGGGATTTGGGATGGTGAAGCCACATCAGGCTCCAACACAGTAAGCGTCATTTTCAGCCAGGAGACAGCGAGGCTGCTCGTAGACGATGGAGAAAATTATGTGACGAAATGGCATAATTCCCGTGTCAAATTGTGTAGAGAGACCGATGGTATCTTCTATTTACTAAATGTACCATTGTTTGAACAGCAGAGGTAAAACAGATGATCCATTAGGTTTACTGTTCACTCATGATAACCGGAAATCTGAGCCCTGTCACTGGGTGAGGCAAACTACAAATGACCTACCTTATAGCGATAAGACAAGCATGATAAAATTTCTAGCAGAATTGAATCTGCCTGCCACCGAAGTTGAGTTGCCGTCTCAGGGTTCAAAACCACAACCTGGCAGTTGAGAAATTATATTTCGTCTCTGAAATGCTTGAAATCGCTTCTTTTTAACGAGTGTGTTATTCTAGAGAACTTCTCTACTGTAGATGGGAATCGGGTTTTAACGTCCTTAGACCGAATCCCCATCATTGAATAGATTGAATGGAAAGATTCCCGTACATGCATGTTGTGATTCGTCTGGACCAGATGTATAGCAACCGACCCGCACCCGCACCTGCCCTTATCGTTCCCGGATTGAGCCAAGTTGGGTGATGTACATATTTATATTTTTCACACACGTGAATCCAGACTATGTGCCGAACAAATCTTAGTACAATAATTTTTATAATAAAAAACATTCCATGATTTGCATGTGGGCTGAATACTGCCAGGTTTCCCGGGCAAAGGTAGGTGAATTTTCTTGAGGAATCCCTAATCGGAGCCTTTGGCCAGTCAAAACCTAATTCTCAAGGCAGCGGAGCGGCGCGGGGAAACCGCAGTGCATTAGGAGCCGGTGTCCAGTTCATCTAATCATACGCCCTTTGGACAGGGTCAAACGTCCAAGGTGTCCAATGCACCTCGATGTACAATCGATACGATGACCATTGCCACAACCAGAAAGATGTGTGTGGGGTTCGTAAATCTCCTCCTGGTTGGTTTGGAATAACGGTTTTTAGCCAACTCCCCCAGGTGAACTACCGATGGTCCACCAACCCGGTTATAGCCCCCGATATCGGCTTTTCGTCCTCTCACTTTGGTAAGAAAACACCTCCACCACGAGAAGGCAGTGAGTAGGGCTTCCCCAGCAGAGGCTATTGGAGACACTTGGTCGTGTTTTTTTAATTACACACCTAAGTATGATGGAACGCAGACGGGGTGAACCCTATAGTCACGAGGACCCGCTGTTAAGTGGTGGAAACCGGTAACCTAAGACCCAGGACTTGGAGTGGCGAACCATATAAGGCCCC